AGAGGTACAATCAGCTGACTAATATAATTCCAAGAAGACACAGTAAAAAATCTAGATGTGAGGAAATTATGAGATTATTTTAATTTCAGAACTTAAAAGCCCACCAAAACACATATCATGAAATTTCTGAAATAAAGGAGGGGCAAAGATCCTAAAAGCTTTCAGGGAGAGTGAAGAATTACAAGGAAAAGCTCAGGAATAAAAATAGCTAGTACTTCTTCAAAGCAATATTGGAATCTAGAATACAATGCAGCAATATTTTCAAAGTCCTGACAGAAAACAATTTTCCATCTAGCTATCTGTATCCAACAGGTTATCAATAAAAATAAGGGTAGAACAGACATTTTTAGGCCTTGAAAGCTCTAAAAATACATTTGTTTCCCATGCACTCTTCTCAGAAAAAAACAAAGAAGTAAACCAATAGAGATGACAACATGGAATCCCAGAAACTGGAGATCCAGTACAACAGAAAAGCAAATGAAATTTCAAAGGTGATGTGAAGAGAAGAAAGCTGTTTAGTAACCTTAGTAAGAAATCAATACAGATTGGAATAGGAAAGGCCAAAGAAGACTGGGGAGATCAGAGAAAAGAAGAAAATAGATCATTTAGTGATTTATAAAAATGTAAAAATTAGTACTAAGAAAAGTTGGAGAGTGTGGGAAGAATTAGTGATCCACACCTAGAAAATTAATCAAATGAAAAAACCAGTAAACTCTAGGAAACCAAAAAAATGACAACAGATAGCCGAAACCGGTTTGGCTCAGTGGATAGAGCGTCGGCTTGTGGACTGAAAGGTCCCAGGTTCGATTCCGGTCAAGGGCATGTACCTGGGTTGCGGGCACATCCCCAGTGGGAGATGTGCAGGAGGCAGCTTATCGATGTTTCTCTCCCATCGATGTTTCTAACTATCTCTCTCTCTCCCTTCCTCTCTGTAAAAAATCAATAAAATATATTTTTTTTTAAAAAATGACAACAGATAAATAAGAATTTATATCATGTTAAGATATAAAATGAACCTAAGAACCATTATTGGCTCCTCACTGAGCAGTATTTTTATTTTTTTAACTACCCTAACAACTAATATAACTTTATTGAAAGGATAAGGAAGAGTAAGGGTGACCTCTTTATATATCAGAAAAGGAATATCATGATTACACCTAAAATTGATAGATGAAGTCATACCAAAATAATAGACAAACATGGTAATTGACCATACCTTCACTATGTCTCCCATTGGCTAATCAGCATGATATGCAAATTAACCACTAACAAAGATGGCAGCTAATTTGCATACTGCAGGCAGGGTGGGACAGCGCCATCCTGACTGCCCCGCCGCCATCTGGGCCTGCTATTTGCCACCTGGGGCAGAGGGGCAGGACAGCGCCATCCCGCCTGCCCTGCCGCCATCCAGCCTGCTATCTGCGACCCAGGGCGGCAGGTGGCCCGTGTGCGACCCGGCCCGGGGCGGCCAGGCGGGCCAGCGAAGGCTTGAAGGCGGCTCCAGCCGAAGTGAAGGCCTGGGTCCCGGGTGCCAGAGGAAAACCGGTGCCGGCAGCCAGGGGAAGGGAAAGCCTATTGCACGAATCTTTTCATGCAACAGGCCTCTAGTACCAAAATAATGTTTTAGAATATATAGGTTAATATCAAAACCAACATCTGAAAGAGTTGAAAATAAAAATGGGGCTGAGGAAATAGGAAAACACTGACTTTTTTTAAAAGACAGGCTTTTCCTATTAATTTATACACCAATTACTTTGCATTTATATACCATATCATTCATACCCTTCCACTATCTGAGCTTATGTTATTCTCAATCCTACCCCTGTTTTTACCAGCCTATACTTAAGAGTTATATTCTGCCCACCTAGGTGGAGTATGCTTACATTTAAAAATGTGCAATGAGCCCTAGCTTGTTTGACTCAGTGGATAGAGCGTCAGCCTGCGGATTGAAGGGTCTGAGGTTTGATTCCCTCCAAGGGCACATGTCCAGGTTGCGGGCTCGATCCCCAGTAGGGGGTGTGCAGGAGGCATCCAATCAATGATTTCCTCTCATCATTGATGTTTCTCCCTCTCTCTTCCTCCCCCTTCCTCTCTGAAATTAATAAAGACATATTTTTTGAAAATGTGTAATAAAAATTTCTAAATGCCTACCATAAAATACATAGCTTCAATTAATAAAATAAAAAATAGTAACTAAACAATCATAAGAAACCTACATATCAAAATTAAATTATTTTTAACCTGCATTCTATAATTCCATCTAACAACAAATATCCTAATGGATACCCCTGGCTGTTGGCTCATTTTATTGGAGCACTGTCCCATGCACTAAAAATTTGCAAGTTCAATTCCTGGTCAGGGCACATGCCTAGGCTATATGTTCAATTCCCAGTCAGGCACATGAGAGAGGTAGCCAATCAATGTTTCTCTCTCTCATGGATGTTTCTCTCTTGCTCTCTCTAAAAATCAGTAAAAACATCTCCTCGGTTGAGGATTTAAAAATTTAGTTTAGCCCTAGCTGACTTGGCTCAGTGGATAGAGCGTCAGCCTGCGGACTGAGGAGTCTCAGGTTCGATTCTGGCCAAGGGCACATGCCTGGGTTGCGGGCTCGATCCCCAGTAGGGGGCGTACAGGAGGCAGCCAATCAATGATTCTCTCTCATCATTGATGTGTCCATCTCTCTCTCCTTCTCCCTTCCTCTCTGAAATCAACAAAGAAATATATTTAAAAACAAATAACTATTTTTGCCCTAACCAGTTTGGCTCAGTGGATAGAGCGTCAGTGGATAGACCCTTGGCCTGCGGACTAAAGGGTCCCAGGTTCGATTCTGGTCAAGGGCAAAATAAAAGATAAAAATTTAGTTTAATTTTAATGTATATTATATACATGAAAGGCTAATATACAAAGTGTCTCCTCAGGAGTTCAACCGGGAGTTCTATCACTCACTATGACGTGCGCTGACCACCAGGGGACGGCATGGAACGAAGGAAGGCCCTGGCTGGTAGCCAGGGAAGGAAGGCCCCAGCTGGAAGGCCCCGATCGGCCCCGATCACTGGCCAGGCCTAGGGACCCTACCCATGCACAAATTTCGTGCACCGGACCTCTAGTTTAAAAATAAAAAATAATGGACCTAACGTTTTCCCTGGCGTGGTGCAGCTGAATACATGCAAGTATTATTGATCCACAGAAGTCTACCTCAATAAAAGTTATTTTATTTATGAGCTAATTTCTGAAAAATACTATTTTAAACAGTCAATATCAATATCCCACTGGTCAAATTTTTAAATGCCAAAATAAAAGAGCCTTAAGCAGTGGAGAACACACATTAACCTATGCAAAAGCAACAGCTTCCAAAACCGTTTTAAAAAATAAAGTTTAGCCCAGCAGGTGGTTCAGTGGTTGAACACTGAACCATGAACAAAAAGGTCATTGGTTCAATTCCCAGTCAGGGCATATGTCCGAGTTGGGAGCCTGATCCTCAGTGGGAGGCAGCCAATGTTTCTTTCTCATTGATGTTTCTATCTCTCTCTAGTTCTCCTTTCCTGTCTTAAAATCAATAAAGACATATTAAATAAAATAAAATGAAAATTTTATTAGAACAATGAAAAATAAAAGCAGTTGCCTCAAACACTTAAGCACAAATGACAGGTATGAATGTTGTAATTTTTATAATGAAAATATAAAGATCTGACAGAACCTCATCTTAGCCGGGACCCAGAATTCTTTTAGAAGAGAATTTTTGAAATAGTTAAAAAGTAGGTAAGTAGGAGACAACAAAGAGCCTTGACTGCCTGCTAAGGAAAATAAAATTTACAAGATATAAACCTAAGCCTGTTTTATAATAAGCATTGAACAAGTAAAAAAAAAAACTAGCAACACTTCCAACAGGAAGGATTATGCTTTATGTTATCAATGCATTTGTCAACCATGATATTCCTTTCAGACCCTTGTACGCTCTTTTGTATATTCAGTTTATTCCCATAATCTGCTCTTCCCATTCTCTGAATTAGTATTCCTTTCATACCATTCCCAATTACAATATTAATAAAATTAAATAATGATAATCTGTTAACAGTTAAACCAACATACATAACTTTCCTGATCTTGCAAACAAGACAAAGGAGTGGCAGTTGTATGATTGCTATACAGTAATTAACTTTAATATGTTTTTATTAATTTCACAGAGAGAGAAACATCAACATTGATCAGCTGCCTCCTGCACGGCCCACAATCTGGACATGTGTCCTGATGGGGAATCAAACCAGAGAACTCCTGGTGCAAAGGTCAATGGTGAATCGAAACAGTGACCTCCTGGTGCATGGTTCAACCATTGAACCACATTGGCTGGGCTGCTATACAATAATGTAAAATGCTAACATAAATATTTGATGACATGCAGAGATTGATCACAGTAGACTATATGTGAAAAATCAGATTATCCAACAGACATGTAGTAAAATCACATTTTGTAAAATTTTAAACTGTACTGTTCACAATCTCATACCTAGGTTAGACAAAACAAAACAAAAAGTTAGTTTTTACTCTGGATGGCGGCGTGCTTTTTCAAACTCTAATTTCCTGTACTTTTCTGATTTTTATAAGTGTATCTTTTAAACAGGAGTTTACATCTTTTAAAAAGAATATAAAATATTAAAATGTTTGTGATGCTTATAAATTATTAAATTCTTAACATACTGTTTTTAAGCAAAAATTATTTTACCTATATTCAATACATTAAAAAAATTATTCTTGACCATTGATAATCTTATGAAAGCTGTTATCACTTTCCTCCCAGAAAACCTATAAAGAACATTTTATATCAAATGCCATGGGTTCATTAATGCACTAAGGTATATTTATGGGCTTCCACTGTCATGGGCCCCCAAATTTAAAATCTCTTTTGTAGAATAACTGCTTTATGAGTAGCCATTTACTCACAATCCTCTATAATAAAAGCATAATATGCATTGCCCCTCGACCAGGAGTTTGACCATGTGCTGACCACCAGGGGGCGGCATGGAACATGGTGGGCGTTGGCAACTAGGCATTGGCAGCAGGTGGCAGTGGAGGTGCTGCCAGCCCCGGTGGGCCCCAGCGAGAGCGGGTCCATGGCAGGATGGTGGAGCAGGTGAGCAGGCAGTGGCAGGACAAGGCGGGTGAAAGCAGGACCCAATCACCCCACCGACCACCCTGCAGACGGCGACCAGCGCTTCGATCACCAGCCAGGCCTAGGGAATGCACCCATGCCTGAATTTCATGCACCAGGCTTTTAGTCTTAATATAGGCAACAATATTTTTCTGATGCCCAAAAAAGAAACTGGGTGATATGGGTGGGAATAAGGACAGGAGAACAGGCAAAAAATTTTAGCACAAAGCACTGTGATCCAACTGCCTTTTTTTTTTTTTTTTTTTGCTTAATTGAACAAGTTGTATCATTTGGCATTAATAGTTTGGACATAAACTTTAGAAGTAAAGATAAAGAAGGCGTTATGGTGTTACAATACATTTGTGAAGATAATTTTCTTCAGCTAATATTTTGGGGATACAAGAGGAAATTTCCTTTTGTTCTCGCCACTTGAGTATATTCTCTGCCAGTTCTTCTGTCTCAGTCACCAAAATATCCATCTTGGCTAAAGCCTTGCTCATTTTCTTTAGATCTGCATCTAAATGAGGAATATTTCTAATTGTTTCAAGGTGGGTTTCTAATCTCTCAATAAAAGTCACTGCCAACTCCAGCAAATGTACCATGTATCTGTGATAAACTGCTTCAATAGGCAGGTTTTCCTGGCACATGGGTTTCAACAGTCTTTGCCTGAGCGACCTCTTCTCTTTTAGCACTGCTTCCAAATGATTATTCATGCTTTGCAGAGTTTGACACTTTTGAGCCAAAAAAGAAGGATGAACAATGTCTGCTGTATCTTTTTCTAGTTTTAGAAGTTCAATTTCCAGGTTTTTCTGATTGATTTCAGCTTGAATATTTGTGATCTGCTGTAGCCTGGAGAAGTTCACAAAGCAAGGAGTAGACTTCTTAGATATATCTAATATCTCCTGAGTGACTATCCCCGAGGCCACGATATGGCCCAGCAGTAGCCCGGCAGGGTTTGGCTCAGGTGCCGGGTCCCAAGGTTCGGCCGCTCCTAACTATTTTATTATCTCTCTTCTATCAGCATGACAGAATGTAACCATCTGCTTTTTGGTACTTTTTACTACCAGCTAAAAACTTTTCATAACTTATCATGTAAGTAGAATTATAAACATTACAAACTGTGTTTTCAGTTCAACTTCTCACGCTTTAGCTATGTACTCTTCAATATATATTTCATTTCCTAAAATAAACGTTAATAGTTTTAACTAAAATACATGGTTTATTAATAAGTTCGTCAGATACTATGCTAAGCACTTTGTTTCTTTACAACCCAAGATAGTATTTGCTTTATTATTACCATTTCACAAATGGGGAGGAGCTTACAGCTTACAGAAGCTATTTAATTTGTCATAAACATCCAGTACACATGTGATAAAGGAGGACTGGAATCCACATCTATGTAGCTCCAAAGCCATACTCTTAACCACTACATGCTGGAGCAGAATGAGATAAAGGCAGAGAGCATCTCTAACAGTTTGGGACAAACACTTTGATATTCTGATGAAACCTACAAATTAATGTCTAAAATTGTGCATATCAAAATTTCCTTTACAATTCCTATCCATAGACTTCAAGCTAAAAATTCCTGATACAGGGATTAAGAGTAAACATCTAAGATAAAAGTGGACTACAAATGCAAAAATGTAACTCCTACCCAGCTCCACCAATAATCAGTGGTGAGATGTTAGTAAAATATCATTTCTCTGAATTTCATGGCACACTATAAATCCTGAAATTAAAAGTATGGTTTTATCCTAGTATCACATGTTGCCACCTAAATATAGTGACAAAAAATTCAAAATTCTGACTCAAATAATGACATTTCAAATCCTTTTGCTATTAATGTGAATTTTAATGCATTAATATATTAGTATTGTAAGATATCCAATCATCTATTTTACCCATAATGAAAGGAACAACAACCATTGCTAAACTTAAGTCAAAAAAAATTTCAGATTGAGACTCAGAAGAGATGCCAATAGTGACAACACATAAATTTTAAATAACTAAAATCTACAATCTTTTTTGCCAATTTTATTGACAAAAGAAAAAAAAGATGGAAAAGGTATTTTTTGCACAGGAAATGCTTTTTTGAAATTAAACTATTCTGATAAACTATCATCAGCTACTCTGTGTACCTCAGGATGTTCATTTATGTTATCACTGCATTTAATATGTTCATTAATCATTGCACACACAGTACCTCAAATATTCTCTACCCATAAAAATTTTAGAAGAACCAAGAAGTTTAAACAGGATAGGCACACATGAGAAAATAATATTTAGCCATAACCAATTAAAATCATGTTGAACAAAAATTTGCAAATACTTGAAACAAAGTTTGGTTATTTTAATTATTGTGTTCCCTAAAATTTTATTCTCTATATTTTTCATTATATGTATTATTTTTAAATGGATCTAGTATACATAATAGGAAAGGAACAAATAGCAAGTGGCTTCCAGAAGGGTCAAAGTGTCATCTATCACATTAGTGATTTTTTTTAAGGATTAAGTTTGTTATAGGTCTTTAGCTATGCCATAACAATTTTTTAATATCTCAAAATAATTTTTAGAATTTTGACCACATCCACATGTGTTAATAATGAAAAAGGGGGTTAAAGAAAAAATGAATTTATATTTTTAATGTTTTAAAAACAAAACCATGAGTAAGAAAGAAGATATTTAATAAATATTGATAAATTGTCATTTTATGACTAAAGGTATATAACCCAATATCCTAAAAGGAAAACTTGATGACAAAGCAAATTTAAAATACAAATCACAAAGTAGTCTTCAACATACTTAAGAATACATACCTCTGTGTCCAGGAATTGATGTAAGCAAATATTCTGAGAGTATGTTCCTTTCTGAGCTGCAGTCCATCACCACCTTCTATATCTGATACTAAAATAAAGTAGAAAAGAAAATTTTTAATTATGAATAAATAATGCTAAACCAATGTTAAAGCCAATATTTCATTTTTTTTAAAAAGCCCAGTTTAGAAATGTAAATATTTCAGGTGACTTTTTATTTTTTGCTTTCACCAAATAAATCTTGGTTTGTTTATTTAATTAATGACTAATTTGAGCTTAACAGATTTTTAATATATGTAATTCTGAGTGGGAAAAAAAGAAGACATTTTGCAATTATTCTGGTATTGTCTCTCAACTTCAAATCCACCCTTCAATTCTCTGTTTTGTGATGCTGGGGCTGGGACTGTTACAAGTTACATTTTTCATTTCCAGCTGGCTTCCTGTTAAGATCTTCCTCCAGTGCCTACACAACACTAGAAAAAGACTGGAAGATAGAAAGAGACCAAGGACTCTTTAGCTTGCTATATCTGAAAGCAACACTCAGCAGCAGCATTGATTCCAGTCAGGCTCCAGATTCTAAGAACCTATCTCATGGTACCACTCTCTTAGAAGTACCAGGATTAGGCAGGCCGCATCCCTTCCCTGAAGTCCTAGACAACCCTCTTTCCTTTGTTTCTCCAGCCTTAGGAGAGAATGGATGTTTCCTGCAGTCATCATCATTGTTGTCATCATCATTTTCTGGGTGTCCTCTGGGTTCCTTTGCTCTTTAAACCTTCAACATCTATTTAATTACTTCTCTTTATTAAATTCCCTCTTCAATTCCCTGACTGACATATTGGCATTTCATATACAATATGTACTACTATTACTATTACTACTACTACTACTACTACTACTACAACAAAAGGAACCTAAAGTTAAATCTAATAGTCCAGTAAAGTCTTTTAATGTACAATGTTTGTATAAAATCAGAGATCAGCCCAGCTGGCGTGGCTCAGCGATTGAGCATCAACCTGTGAACCAGGAGTTCATGGGTCCAATTCCCAGTCAGGGCACATGCCCGGGTGTGGGCTCGATCCCCAGTGGGAGGCATGCAGGAGGCAGCCGATCAATGATTCTCTTTCATCGTTGATGTTTCTACCTCTCCCTCCCTTTCCCTTCCTGTCTGAAATCAATAAAAATATATATTTTTTAAAAATTCAGAGATCACCAAAATGTTCTATAAAGGGCCAGAAAGGGAATATTTTAGGTCTGCAGGCCACCAAGTCTCTTTCACAACTAGGCAGCTCTGCCACTGTACCTTGAAAGCAGTGACAGACAATATGTAAACAAATGAGTATGGCCATGTTACAAAAAGACCAACTGGCCAGGTTTGGCATGATGGGCATAGTTTGACAACTTCATGTTAAACAAAGTCCAAGATAACATAACGCATGGCATTTAAATCTCCACCGTGTCTAGAAGTCATCATATATCTACATATATGAAAGCCTAAGCAACAGAACGACGGAACGACCGGTCACTATGATGCGCACTGACCACCAGAGGGCAGACGCTCAATGCAGAAGCTGCCCCCTGGTGGTCAGTGCACTCGCACAGCCACCTCCCACAGCCCCTCCCCCCGGCAGGCCAACCTCCCACAGCCCCTACCCTCACTGGCCAGCCCTGATGGCCCCAATTGGTCCCTTCCCTCTCCACCCCCCCACCCCCCCCCCGCCAGTCAACCTCCTACAGCCCCAATCGCCAACCAGGTCGAGGGACCCCACCTGTGCACAAATTCATGCACCAGGCCTCTAGTACATTAATACTTGTTGAGCACTATGTATGCCATAGACAATAATGAATGAAATAGCAACAATCCCCACCCCATGGAACTTAGTCTAGCCAAGAAAAGGAAGAACATAAATATGTAAATAAATAATACTCATACATATTGTGATAAATACCAATAAGAAACCAACAAGGCTATTATTATGTACCAAATAAGCATAACCCACCTTAGAATGGGAAGTCAGGATAAAATTCTCTAAAGAGGTGATTTTTAGACAAAGACTAGAATGTTAAGAATTCAGACATTAAAAAGAGTAAAAGAGAGAGATTAAAGCATTCTAGGTAAAGTTGATGTTTAAAGAGAATCTCCGCCCTAACCGGTTTGGCTCAGTGGATAGAGCGTCGGCCTGTGGACTCAAGGGTCCTGGGTTAGATTCCGGCCAAGGGCATGTACCTTGGTTGCCGGCACATACCCAGTAGGGAGTGTGCAGGAGGCAGCTGATCGATGTTTCTCTCTCATCGATGTTTCTGACTCTCTATCCCTCTCCCTTCCTCTCTGTAAAAAATCAATAAAATATATTTAAAAAATAAATAAATAAATAAAGAGAATCTCCAGGATAATAGGAAGATACAAGGAGGAACACTGTGCACAGACCCCAAGAACACTTGTGGCTCAATGGTTGAACGTCAACCTATGAATGAGGAGGTAACGGATCAATTCCCAGATGGAACATATGCCCAGGTTGCAGGCTCGATCTCCATGTGAGGCGTCCAAGAGGCAGCCGATCAATGACTCTCATTATTTTTTTTTTAATATTATATTGCTTTTTTACAGAGAGGAAGGGAGAGGGAGAGTTAGAAACATCGATCAGCTGCCTCCCGCACACCCCCTACTGGGGATGTGCCTGCAACCAAGGTACATGCCCTTGACCGGAATCGAACCTGGGACCCTTCAGTCTCCAGGCCGGTGCTCTATCCATTGAGCCAAACCAGCTAGGGCTGACTCTCATTATTGATGTTTATATCTCTCCCTCTCCCTTTCACTCTGAAATCAATAAAAAATATATTTTTTTAAAAAAAGAAAGGAGAAAGAGAATAAAAGGGCTCTAAGTAAGATGGTTCTGCAATGGGGAAACTAAACATATAATTTACATTTGATTTATCTAAAAACGAGTTTTACTCTTTTAGAGGAATTATAATAAATGCTGACAGAAACTCAACACACATGCATATAAACTTGGCAACTACTAAATATAGGGATGAAAGAAATGGTGTAAATCAAAAAGTGTAACTACAATATACTGCCTGGCTTAGCAGTAAATATTATTTACATAGTCCCAGTAACAAATACACAGTATTAATTCAAAAACAATTGGAAAGGCATGGCAAGAGTAAAAACA